CAGGAGTATTTGGTGGTACTTGAACTTGCCTGCATAGCCTTCTCATCTTTCTCCTGTAAAACAGACCCCTTCACTAAAAGTAGAGCCTGAGTAGTGCTAACTCCCACCTGGTAATATCTCCCCTGAACAGCCTCTGAATTGTTCCTGAGGATCAATTCCAGCAACAGGATTCAATAGTGAGGTTTGGCATCTCTCTGTAGAAGCACTGCCGGAGGGAAGAGGGCTTCAAATTCCCCAGCAAGGAGCAACTCCAGAATTCAAACCTGGCAATTACTGGCAGCATTACAATGTTTGTGGGCAAAAATTTCTGTGCCAATATATGTTTTCATATCTATTTTATATTTTCAGTGAGTATAAACAGAGCTAATTGGTGAATATAATACTTTGGAAAGTCTGAAGACCTGTTTTTAATAACCTTTAAAGTAGCTTCCCTTGAGAGGTTTTTTTTCACCAGTCTAAATATTTAATATTGTACTTACTGTCCCTGTTTTTAGAGAAATGCTTTAATGAAGCAAGATGGGTAATGACTTGCAAACCACTGGTTGTCACAGGAGCAGGACTTTGGAGATCATTACAAGAAATAGAGAACCACTTATCCAAAAGGTCCTATTCTACAGGATTTTGGATCCTGTCCTGTAATTCTCCCCAGCTGTCAGAGGTTCAGGAAATCCATCGAGTATAGGATTAGTTTTCTAAGACATAATACTACCAAACTTCCCAAGACTACTTTTTATTCGCAAATAAGTCCTCTCCTTTCTCCTGGCTGGACTTTTTCCATTGAATTATTTTCTTAGTTTTTAACTAAACAACCTATAAAAATATATATATATATATAAAAAAATGTATTTGCTGAATATGTATATTCTTTATTATATAAATAAGAAAGAACCATGAGAGCCAACTAGCTATAGAAAATGAATTATTAAATGAAATACATTGATTTACCAACATTAAAAAGATTCTGCATTGAAATTTTTTAATTAACTGGCATGTGACAAGCAGAAAAAAAATGCAGCTAGTTTGTGGAGTCAGTTATTTTAGAGAAAAGGGAAAATGCTAAATGCTTGACTTCATGTCTCCATAATTTGACTTCTTATTTTTTCCCTCTTTTCAACCCTGTCTAAATTACCACTACCAAGTTTACAGGGGTACACAACAAAATTAAGCAATCCTTATGAAAAGCCCGGACTTCTAGAACAAGAAATTACGCAACACAGCATACGGAAAGAGAATTCAAGCATGGCATTATGTGATACCACTGGAAGCTAACAGTAAGGGGAAGGTTTTCAGAGGAAGAATATCTGTTTCATGAGAAATGCAAAAAAAAAAACCAACTCATGAAATACGTTAGATTTGTATAAAACAAAAATTGAGCTTCTGATCCTGCTATTAGGGATACTGAATTTAACACATTGTGTGTTCTTCTTTCTACAGTTTTTCTCACTTGCCTTGCCTTTGCTTTTTAGGTGTTTGTTCATATAAAACTTAGCAAGAGAAAACAACAGGCTTTACCTTAAACCACTAACATATCTAGATAAGGCTCAAATCATGCAGAAACTGAAAACATCCTGGGAATCCTGGGAAATCTACTCTCGGTGTTACAGCTCTGAGTACCCATTCAGTGGTTTCAGTCCCAGATTCAGGAAAATTTCTGTTTGTGCCAATGATAAGCACAAGGTTCATTGTGTCATTGCTTAAAGTTAGCTATCTTTTCAGAACTTCCTTGGCTCAATAAGGACATTAAAGCAGATAGTTAAACACTTTCCCAGTTGGAGTCTTTTCTTTTTTTTTCTCCCATAAAAGTGGCTATAAGTTTTCTGCCATTCAGCATATTCTTGTCAGAACATGATTTCTATGTTTCTAAAATCTTTACTTTTTTGTCTAATATCTTGTATTTTAATAATGATTCACTATTATGTACCTACAACTACAACTTAAATAATTCTATCATAAACCAGGTGTTATGCTCCTGTCAAAAAATAATAAGTCTTCTTAAAAATGACCAGCCGGTTTTGTGTGTATCAGATGAATCAAAGTACACACTGGGCAGGAGTTCTATTACATTCGGGAGAGTTTCAGGATCTTTCAGCTTGGGTGGAAATGAGTAGAGCTTTTTCAGAATTATGGTTTGCTGAATGAGAATAACTTTGATCTTTGAAGTTGCCTAACTTATACCTTAATCACCTTTTTTTTTCTTATTTTTTTACAAAGTTACAGCTATGCTTTACTACCCAAAGAGTTTGTGAAAGACTGCATGTGTGTAGACTGTTTCAGTAAAGCTCATTAGAATAGGCTTGATTTTAATGACATGAATAATCCCATTCTGAAAGCAAAGAATTCAAGAATGCAAACATTTTTTGAAATTACAAACATTTTTTTTCACTTTAGTGAACTTCAAGGGAAAAAAAGGCTGAGCTTGAAGTTAAGTTTATCCTTCAAAATTTTGCTCAGCTGGGGCCCTAGCACAAGATTCAGGCTGCCAAAACCTGCCAAGCTGTCCAGACCTCAATCCCAAAGCACATTTTGGCAGCTCAGACCAGCACTGCCTTCCACCTGAGGATCAAGATTTACCCAGAACATGCATTTTGAATCCCAAATTTCCCCGCATAGACAGGTCTAGGCACACAGGTATATGCAGAAGCAACTTCATTTGAGGAGTCAGGTGCTTTGCTCCTACCTAATCTTCACACAACTGAGACCCAAAGCAAGAACATACCTACATAAGGAAGCAGAAGACAAAGTTATTGGAGGCCATTAACTTTCCTCTTTTTCCTCTTTTGTTAAGCAGTCTCCAGCTACTACGGACTTAAACACCCCTGGCATTCCCATAATATTTGTGCCCTTACAGCCCCCCTTCCTCCCAGTGGCCAAACTCTGCCAGTGGCCAAAACTCTGGAATGCAGCAGGATGTCACAAGCTCTCTTGATCTGGCTCAACTTGCATTAACTGCACCTGCCCAGCATAGAGCAGCAGCTTGGGCATTTTTATCAAAAAGCATAGCTGGAGGAGCTACTGTCTACTTTTTGTAGAAATCCTAGTGGTTAGGTTTTTTAAAGCAGCAGAAGACTTGAGATCAAATCTCTTTTCACTCTAAACAGTTTTGACACTGTAACTCCCACTTCACAGAAGAAAATCCAAGTTGCCAGGCTACAGGAAGGAAAACTGACCACTCTTCTTTCCCAGGATGAGCAGATGAGTAGCAAGAACAACAGGCCACCAGCAAAGCAAGTGAAAGGCGGTATGATGTGGTAACATTATGAATGAGGACATGCAGAAATGAGTAGCATGGGCCCAGATTCTCATTTCCCTAGATAATTCGGGGCTTTTATTCACCAATTGAAATATAAAAACTAACTGGTTGCATTAACTGGAACTGCATTAAATGTCTGAATTAGAATATATTATTTTAAGAGACTATAACTACCAGTGGTAATCTAAGTATAACTGTAACCACGCAATATGTGTAATTGAAATAGAGCACTGTGTTGGCAAAACATTAGACTGTTTCCTAGATCTAAGCTGCATGGATCCAGTAAGTAGAGATTGTAAAGCTTTTGCATTAACTTACTGAAACTCCTATCGCAGATTGTAGAGGAGAAGACAGTCACACTGAAGCCCGCTTAAATAAGTGTTTCTTGAAGAATGGCATGTTGTTGCCAACTCTCTTGTCTAATTAAAGACCCAAAACATTATCCTACTGAAGCTGATGGCAGTACTCACTTGACATCAAAGGGAATCAAGATTCGCCATTCTTTTATGAAGAATTATTTTTATTGTATGATTAAAAACAAGCAAGGCAATTCACAGTGCATCACGTGGTAGCACTTTTGTCTCCAGGTGATGGCAGACTCCAGTTCTGTCGTGCCTCAGAGGTCCCACCTGAAGCCAAGACATCAGCTCAATACTGAGGCTGCAGTATCTAAACCAAACTACAGTCACCTCCAGAGACAGCAGCTCTGACTGGAACCCCATCCTGCTGTGCAACTGGCAAACATGCTAGAAGACTGAGGAGCTTAACAGACTAAATAGACAAGGATAAAAGATCTCCATTGTGCAGATAAGAATTGAGACAAGTGCAGACTGGCTTACCTGAAGTCGCACAGTTGAGCTCCAGTAAAGCAAGGGAAGGATCCCCAGTTCATCGCTGCAAATCCAGAGGGACTATTTGGGTGCAGATGGCACGTTGACCTTCATGATAAAAATTTTGCTTGGATCTCCTGCTTTAAGCTATCTTATGTCATCTCTAAAATAAAGAGAAAACAAAAAAGTGAAAAACCTCCTCTCTCCAAATTCTGTGCCCAGCGCTTTTTTCTGCCAGAGTGTAACAGAAGCTAGCTTACAAGCAGGGCATAAGTTCTTTGTTAGGGAAAGAACTGTGAAAAATTAGGGATCACACCTGAGTCTGGGAAGTCTTTGCTCACAAACAAGTGGGAAAATGGGGAAAGAGACATAACTTTAAAATAACTGTAATATTAATTGATTACCGTTCTCCAGATGAAATGATGAACAATAACATCTCTAGCAGCTCTATGGCCAGGAAATGGGGTGGAAATTGAATCCAATAAGACAAAATTTTCTTTCTCCACAAGATAGATATATTATAACTTGAATTATTGGCAAGGAAATATTTTTGCAGTTTATTTAGAGTTGCTGCTCTATAGATATCTGCTATTTCAGTCATAGTATGTTAAGATAACTCTAAATGAGAGGTACTGTGTGAAACCAAACTCTAGACTGTATTTTGTATTTTAATCAGGATTCTTTCACAAAATATTCCATTATGGCTAATGAGATATTAGCAACCAATGTGCTAGAAAGGACAGATGGGAAGATAGTCAACTATCCAAATCAGAAGATTTTCAAAGTGCAGTAAACAAATTATTAAGCACACTTCTCTGGCTTAATGCCAACCTATACTCTAGGGAATTGGTCAAAGAGTAGATCATGAAAAGCTTTTTGGGAGTAGCTAAATTCTACAGCTGTGGTCTTTGTTTTTCTAGTACTTTGCAAGAACAGAAGGGGGAATTACGAAAGCGTCTATCGTACACTACCCATAAGCTGGAAATGCTTGAAACGGAATTTGATTCTACACGTCAGTATCTTGAAATAGAATTGAGACGTGCTCAGGAGGAACTTGAAAAAGTAACTGAAAAACTGAGAAGGTTAGTAACTAACTTTTTGAAATAAACAGAGGTATTAGGAATTTACAAGTGACTGTTAAAAACATATGTAAGTAAAAATATGAACATATAGTCTCAAACATACTTCATATATTATTTATTGATTACACAGTGTGTTTTCACATTGAATATATATTTCACTTATCTGAATATATATTACATACCACATGAAGTTATTTACATGTGACATGTAAGATGTCTCTGTATTGAAAGTAAATATGCAAATAGAAATGTAACTATACAGGTGCATATATTACATTGTTTATGTGTAAACATACATGTGGGTTAGTGCCACATTGTGTAACACATACAAAGGTTATAAACACACTACATATATATATATACTTATACTGTATATAGACAGATAAATGTTTTAGAATTATTTTGGCCGCATATTTTCTGTTGTTACTTTCCATTGCACTGACACAAGAGAATAGAATTTGGCCCTCCATCACTCAAAACTGAGACTATGTTCAATTCAAATAATATTATGACATTTCACATTATGGTATAGCAAATCATTCACTTTTAAGTCCCAGGCAGAATGGAATGATACTGAAAACCTATGATTTAAAATTGTTGAAGCTGTGGTATGGTGCAATTGCAAATCAGGGGCCTAGTTAATGTTAATGACAAATTAGAATAAGCATGCACTCCAGACATTCATGGCACTGATTAAACTGGTCTGTAAGCTAGCTTTAAATTTATCAGTGATTCTTATTCTCCATTTTTTCATTTGTTTGCAAAACTTCTGAACCTACAATGACCCATTGTGGTGGGTTGACCCCTGCTGGATGCCAGGTGCCCACCAAAGCCCCTCTATCACTCCCCTCCTCAGCTGGGCAGCGGAGAGAAAATATAACAAAAAGCTCATGGGTTGAGATAAGGACAGGGAGAGATCACTCATTCAATTACCATCATGAGCAAAACAGACTCAACTTGGGGAAATTATTTAATTTATTACCAATCAAATCAGAGTAGGGTAATGAGAGATAAAACCAAAACTTAAAACACTTTCCTCCCACGCCTCCCTCCTTCCCAGGCACAACTTTACTCCTGATTTTCTCCAATTACTCCCCCTGAGTAGTGCCGGGGGACGGGGAATGGGCATTACGGTCAGTTCATCACACGCTGTCTCTGCTGCTCCTTCCTCCTCGGGGTAGGACTCCTCACTCTTCCCCTGCTCCAGCCTGGAGTCCCTCCCACAGGAGACAGTCCTCCACAAAATTCTCCAGTGTGGGTCCTTCCCACAGGCTGCAGTTCTTCACAAACTGCTCCAGCGTGGGTCCCTTCCGTGGGCTGCAGTCCTTCAGGCACAGACTGCTCCAGCGTGGGTCCCCCATGGGGTCACAAGTCCTGCCAGAAAACCTGCTCCAGCGTGGGCTCCTCTCTCCATGGGGCCACAGGTCCTGCCAGGAGCCTGCTCCAGGCTTCCCATGGGGTCACAGCCTCCTTCTGCTCCAGCGTGGGGTCCTCCAGGGGCTGCAGGTGGAGATCTGCTCCACCGTGGACCTGCCTGGGCTGCAGGGGGACAGCCTGCCTCACCATGGTCTTCCCCACGGGCTGCAGGGGAATCTCCGCTCTGGCACCTGGAGCACCTCCTCCTCCTCCTTCTTCACCGACCTGGGGGTCTGCAGGGTTGTTTCTCTCACATGTTCTCACTCCTCTCTCTGGCTGCAGTTTCTGTGCCACAGCAACTTTTTTCCCCTTCTTAAATCTATTATTTCACAGGCACTACCACCATCACTGACGGGCTCAGCTTTGGCCAGCGGCAGGTCCATCTTGGAGCCGTCTGGCCTTGGCTCTGTCGGACACAGGGGAAGCTTCTAGGACCTTCTCACAGAAGCCACCCCTGTAGCCCCCCCCTACCAAAACCTTGCCATGCAAACCCAATACATCTCTTTATGCAGGAATGTGTTTGCGTTTCTTGTGAGGACTTTCCTAAACTGATGTAGATAATTGAATTGTTTGATTTAGTTTGTTAGATGAGTCAAAACAAAATTCAGAATGAATCATTCCAGGGCTATACCCAAAGAAATATTTTTAATTCTTTGCAGAAGGCAAAAACAAAACCAAAACTAAGCCATATCCATCAAGAGCAGTCTGACGGTTCTCCATATTGTTTTCTTGCTAACAATATTTTTCCTATCACTTCACTTGGAGCAGAGCTATTGAAACTAGCTTTGGTCTTGACATAATTTTGTTCCAATATATTTCAGCTATAAGGACAGGAAACATTGGTGTACTCTTTTCTCCTGAAACATTATTTCAGGCACAGCTGCCATAAATCCTGCATTATATTTAGCAGAGGGGCTGACCATCCCACTTCTGTTAAAACAAAGGGTCTTCCTAGTCAGTAGGAAGCCTCTTATCAACTTCACTGGGCACTAATAAGTTAAGCACCCTTCAAAACTCAGGCCAGAAAGTCTTTTTTTTCTCATGGCAAAGCCTAGCACTCATACCAAATATCAGATTAGTAAAACTGACTTTCCAATATTCTAATGGAATGTTGTAACATATTATGAAGAAAACGTATATTCAAAATTATGTTTCAGGCAAGTGATTACTCCCCTGAAGACATATCATATTGGAAGCCCAAAATATTTTATGAGGTGAGCTTTAAAAATGTTTCTATTGAGAATAGCAAGGCATACTGCAAGTTGAACAACTAGATTTCTCAACCTGGAGAAGGATAACATCTGAAACAAAACTGTCATCCAAAAGCATGTCAGCAACATGTCACAGAGGAACATCGGTGTGAGAAAAACAAGGCACTAGAATTAGTTTCAATAATGTGTCTTTTGCTTTATTCACTGCACAGGGAGAGAAATTCAGCCCCCCTAATAAATAAGTTCTGTGTAACAAGATCCCACTTGTGTACTAGAGACTATTTCTGTTATTAAACTTCCATTACTGTTAAAGTGCAGAATTTTTCCAAGAGGCTGAATGGCCATCCTTTTCTACTCCTTTCTGAAAGCCTTTATCGTCAATTTATCCAGACTTACCTGTGTTGCTGCTAGGCCTTCCCTCTCTTACCCAAGCAGGGAGGTCATTTACGTGACTTGACGGTCAGGTTTTTGACCTCTCTCCAACCAGTTAGAGGTGGTCTTTTTCTTTTGGCCCAGTGGGAGCAAGATCAGGGCAGTGCTGAGTGAGTTTGAAAATATTAACTGTAAAGCATAAGTTCAGCTTTGAAAAGTGACTGAAAAGAGAGTGGGCATTTCATATACCTCACAGTGGTCCCCTATCTGACATGATCAGCATAGGTCTTTTAAGTAAAATTTTAAAAATATTCAAATACCAGTCTTGGAACCAAAACTGATCTCCAAAGGTCATGCTGTGTTTCCTGCTTTAGACCCTTTTCCAGGTAACAACTTGGTGAGGTCCCCATCTCAGCTTTTACCAGAGAGTAGAGTTATTTTAAGACCCAAGAAATAAACCCATGCAAGCATATATATAGCACTGAGATTAGCCCACACACATAATTGTTTCACCAAAAGCAAGACATTTCATGGACTGAAGGGGTGTTCTGAACAGGAATCCTGTAGCAGTATTAGCTTTGGAATAAATGGGGGAAAACTCTCTTGTTTTCATAAGGAAGTCAGTGTAACTTGTGATAACAGAGAGGGAAAAGGTCTTTTGAACAAGAAGTTACTGTTTTAACAGTCACCCTTCAAAGCTAAGCTGCACTCTGGGTGAAATTCTCTTCTTTAGAGAAAGTCAGCCCAAGCTTGTGTTTTACTTTAGATATATTTCATGGCCTTAAGAGGGCTTGAGACTGAGTGGAAGCAAAGAAACAGAGGCTTTTGCGAACTTCCTCTTTAGTGGTGATCTGCAGTCTTAGAGAGGAGTGTGTTGCTTGCTGGGTTAAAAGCACAGATATGCACTATTCAATTTGATCAGAATACTTTCCATCAGACCCTAATTTAGGTGAGAACCTAAACATGCACTTAATGCATGCACATATATACACTGGAGGCACATGGGCATCACCTAATAATATGAACAACACAAAAAGCTTTCAAAAATGATGTTATTGATTCACAGGATTTTATTCTTAAAACAGTTTCACAGGGTAGTGAAGCTGACCTATTCTTCACTTTATTTACAAAGAAGTCAGATTTACAACATTAAAATGTTTCATACTTCACAAGGTTCAGGTGTATTTTTTCCTCAAAGAGGGTTAAGTTACCATTTGCTCATCTGATCATTTTCAAATTGGAATAATTTTCCCTACTCCTCCTTTATTTAGTGTTGCCCAAAGATTGACTTGATTACCCTGTTCCTCTTTTATCCCTTTAACACTTTCTTCCCTATATTTCTGGGTCCGTTTCTCTCCTTGCCACCCACATTTGCTGACACCTCTTTTGGCACAGTGGATTTCCTATTTGGGTTTTATGCATATATGTGCATTTGTATGTGCTTGTGTATGTGTGCACGTGTTTGTGCTTATTTTGACTATCTTTTCATAATGTTCTCAATAGAAACACTTTTTGAAGCTCAGCTTCCTACTTACTATAGATTTTTTGTTTAGATTGGACTTTATTTTACTGGGAAAAGGTCACTTTTTTCAGTGCAAAATGAATGTGTCAGAGAACTAGGGTTTGTTGGTTACTTTCACCTAAACATACAACAGAGGAAAATTTGCTGGGGGAAGACAAAAAAAGTTACAAGCAGAGAAGCAGATTGTAATAAGCTCATGCAAAACCCCTCTACCATCTATGGATGGAAGTGTTGCCAGCCAAGAATAATTATATTAATGGTAACCAGTCTTCCAGTCATCCATACCAAGAGAAAAACAGTGTCAACAGAAGCTGAGGAGCAAACCCAGTGATGTGTTGCCACAGTCATAAGCCAGATATCCAAGTAACAGCTACTACTGGTAATTCATGATCTTAAAGATAGGGAAAGGGAACCTTCAATGTCTCCCTTGAGCTCTCCACATAGGTCTATACTGCAGAACAGACTAAGGTACAGAGAGGCCTTAGCTAGAAAAGTCCTGAACTAATAATTTTTTTCAGCTTTTTTTTCAGGAATTTATGCATATGCTTTTGAACCCGTGCAAACTTTTAGGAGGTTGCAGGTGCTAAAAGTTTATATTGGTTTTACACCATGTCTAGTTGAGCTGCAAGCTGCTTAGGTGCAAAGCATTTTTAACCTATTTTATTTTGTCTTACTAGAGAAGAACAACAGACCATGACAGACAGGATACTGGGGCACCTCTGGTCTCAGCCAGCAGGCCCTATCTTATTTTTCTAAATCCTTGTTCCCTGCACCACAGCATTCAGCCTTAGCAGCAAAACATAACTATGTTAGTGCTGAGTAGGTGTTTGCAGGCAAAGCCAGTTTAAGCCTCCTTGCTTCCACTGGTTTACCAAGATCATCTCTGCTTTCTCCTTTGCCATGAAAAGCTGGGTACAGGGTACCCTAAGATTTCTCTCTGTTGTGTGGACTCTGGTTAGATAACTGTGAAAGTCCTAAGTATACCTAGAGCTGCACAAATAAATGTCTATACAGAGGCTTAGTAGCAAATGCTGCATCTAATCGGAGCACGGACAATGCAGAGATCTGTAAACTTCAGTCAATCCTTTAAGTCACCTGGGCATTTACACAATGGCACTGTGAGAACTGGTGAGAAATGACCAAGCCGCAGGTTAGTACAAGTCTCGCAGATTTTCAGCCCATTTGAGTCGCCAACTTAGCAAACACTCTTTACCACAGATCTGCCTTTCAGGGAGGAAATCTCTTCTCAGCAGCTCTGTAAAATGTACACGACACTGCAACTTCCCTCAGACTCGCAAATGCATGTTTGAAACAGCTGCCCTGCGTCTGGGCTGACCCTCGGTACCCCAGGGAGTTTCACCCGTGGGGATGTCATTATTTCTGCCCACAGAGCAGCTGTCCTCAGCACAGACCTCTCCTCCCAGGTCTGTGCAGCAGATGTCATGGTATTACTGGGAGCCCCAGCAGGAGCTCTGCATGCCTCATGAGGGGCACCGCAAGATGCTGGCCTGCCCCCGAATGGAGAATTTTGATCATTTAACTGGAAAGAAAATCTCCATGGCAACAAAAGCAGGGAGAGACACTTCACTGTCGGGGGGGCTGGGCTGGACCCCTTGATTCGCAGCCATGGCATGGTTCAAATGCAGGTCTTTGTTCTGATTTCAACAGTCAGTCCTAACCATACGATAAACCAAAGCAACTTCTTTAATCCCAGTCCCTTCCTGATCATCATGGAAATTACATCCAGATCCAGGCTTCTCAGAGAAAGTGGCTTTCTGCTGAATGAATGTGTATTACGTCTGAGTTCACTCTACAGTGAACGCACTTGCCCGTTACCTAAAATCAACTCACTGCTGAAAGTACTTCGACCTATTGACCTAACTTAGGTTGATTCCCAGTACAGACATATAGATATATTCAGACAAACTCTTCGCAGCAGAACTTCTAACATTTGCTTTAGATTTTTCACCTCAGATCCTGCTGAGGTGATATGTACAAACAAGAACAAGGAGCTACCCTCCTTGCCTTCTGTGAAGAGAAAGGCACAGCTACTACCAAAATAGTGATATTTTTCCCACAGGCTGCACGGCTTGTTCATTACAATACCGAGGTTACCATCTAAGCAAACTAAAGATGTACAGACTGAAACTTTTCTTTGGTGTATCGCTCTGGAATAAGCAGGGAAGTCTCATTTTGTGAGTCCATTCAATCCCTCAGTGCTGATAAAAATAAATACCCACCTTTTTCCAGGCTAAGCTATCTAAATGTATTTCCTGAGGAAAGAGGATGTGTTTAGCTCCTGAGAACAGGCAATTTCTTGAGCTTCTGTCAAAAGAAGGAATATTCTCCTCTAAGTCATGTGGGGATGCCCGCATGTCGCTTTTGCTACAGTCATTAGATTTCTGCTGCAATTCTCCTTATTAAGAGCTCCATAAATCTTTTCCTGTACTGTCTAAGCATTCAGCTCAAGCTTCCTGTCTAACATATTATTCCTGAGCCTGATGTAAAGCTACAATCTCTTTGTGCAAGTTCCCATGCTGCAATGCATATCTGCACACAAGTGCAGAATGGCAAACATATTTTCACTTCCTGGTGGAATTTGCTGCTAAATATAGTAAGCAAACATGACAAAGAAGTTTGCTTAGGAAGTAGGTGGTAAATGCATTTCAAAGACAACCACTGACTGGGAACAGGAGTGATAAGAAAATAGATTTCAGGTAGCACAAGCCAATGTTTTGTACTGATGTGAAAATTACAGGTAAAAAAACTACACGAAAAACAATGCATTCAATTACATGATATCATCTTTGTTTTAGGATACAAAACAATTACCTAGCCTTACAAAGAATTAATCAGGATCTGGAGGATAAACTTTACAGAATGGTAAGTTATCATAAGTGAACTTTTTTTTTTATATTACATGTGGTTTTATGGTTCTTAAGACATAGGACAAACATATATGTAGCTATCACAAAAAATCCCTTCACACTCCAAATGCAGTATGCTTAAAAAAGATATATGACTTTATCAGTATCATGATCTAGAGCTCAAGCTGTGTACGATGGCATAGCTCCATCAATTTAAATGGAGATTGCATTGGCTGATGATCTGGCTGTGTAAATTGTACCTTTAAAATAATTCTGGTTAATTTAGTTAATAACTTCATGGGTTTTAAATATTTATGTTTTCATTAAGTAACAAATTTAAATAAGGTACTCTAAGGTTTTCTTATGCTTCTTAGATACTTTCACTCAGCTTTTATTAAGTGATTTAATAGAGCTTGGATGGTCTGAATTTTATATGCTGTCATAACTATCAATCTCAGTGTATTAATTTCCGATCTGCATGTGTCTGCAACTACAATGTCAGTGTCACTGTCACAGGCCAATTAATAACTGAGCGAGGAAATCACTGCACCATTTATGGGCTCCACATCTAAGACTAATATTGCAAGACACAGCACCACTCACTCAAAATAGTTTGAAGATGTTAAAAAAAATGGCAATGCCTTTAGCGCCCTGGCTCATTGCTAATGCTGCTGGGACATCATACTCACTGTTAGGAGAAAATTTACAGGGAAATGTGAGGGTAACATTTAAAGAAGAAAGGAATGACAGTTTTGCACTTCCGAAGAGCTTTAGGTGGTGAGCACAGCCTGAGCTGCTTCCTCCTCCCCTGGGTCAGTACAATCAGTTGTTCCCTGCTCCCCTTCTGCCCAGCCCCGTACCCGGCATCGCCCCAGCAAGCACAGTGCACACACACAAATACACGGTTTATAGGTCCTGATGTACAGCTATAAGGATGCTAGGATAAGCCCACCTTTTACACAAGTCTCCTATGTAACATTTGCATGGGTGGGGAGCTTGAAATGAGGGGAACAGATTACTGTGCTTTGAGAGTAAATAGGGACTATGGCAACATACTGGAGAGACACCAGCCTTTACTAAGAAACAGGAAACAAATCTTTGAAAATGTCATCGTTCTTATCTCAGGAGTCTGTTTAAATAGCTGACAATGAATAGAGTACTGATGCTTTGTAACTGGCTAAAAACAGGGCAGAGTTACAGCTGGGTTATAGCTGATATTTATTCATAAATATATGTATAAACACTGTACAAGCATAAATAACATTTGATCTCATGTTATTGGTTTTTTTCTCCACTCTTCCTTTGTTATATTCTTTTTCCTTTTACCCGAATCACTTAGGGATTTTGTCTTCATCTGTGGCCTAGCAGTTATTACATATGCACTACAAAAGATAAATAAAGTAGAGGCATTCTGACTGGTAAACGAAATAAAAAGATTAGAAACATAGAAGGAAGGACTCCAGAAAATCCATGCTTTTTTATCAGGTATTTCAGATCAAAGCAAAGAATTTGTAAACTGCATTTCAGCATCCACTTAAAAGCCTGAGAAATTATTTCAGAGAACAGCACAGAAAGAAGGAAGACTGGTTCTATGGAGCACTGTACCTTTCTTTCTCCCACTAATATGAAAGTCATTGAAGGTAGCTTTAGAGCCTTGAAGAAGATCAACCAGGCTCTGTACACCACTTAACTCCAGACTGCTTTGCCTTCTGAAACATTGAAACTGAAGACATAAACCAAAACAAATGTCAAAGGGAAACTCTATTAAAAGCAAAAAGATGAGAAAAATAGTACCATATTTGATTTAGATCAGCCAAACCATTTGATTTTCAGGGCACTCCAAAAACCTTCAATACTTCAGAGAAAGTTGGATTAAATAACAGCTGGTCTGGTTAATCAACAGCTTATGGTAGACTGGGCTCTTGGATACCTTTCTCTCCCTTTCCTGCTTAGGAGGAACAGCTGTGTTTATTTTTTTGTCTAATTTAGTCAGTTTGCCATTCCAAAATCAAAAGCCTTTGATTTCTCTACCTTTATACAAATCCAAATATATAAACCATCGGTTTACTTTCTCCTTCTGTCTCCTACCCCATCCCTCTACATACACACATATTTATGTATACACACACATATATATATACACTCAGATTCTTGCACAAGTTTTGACCATATAATGTGTCCAAATGCAACAAGTAGGGAAAAGAAGACTCCTGGCGCAGTGGTCCCTCGCTCCCCCTGCCTGCAGGTGACCTGGGATGCTCCCAGGACACCACTTTCTCCCTGCCCTTACAGGTGACCCACAACTCCCCCTCTCCAGTGACTGGCCCCAGCTCATAATTCATCTAGGACTCCACCTTGGCCTCCCTCTTCTAATGTTTTTTGGTATCCTGAATTTTAAAGACTTTCATGCCTTCTATTGGTATAAGGGATGTAAAAAATAATCATTAATTCATCAGCAGTCACAGAAAAGAAGCTGAAGTAGCAGTTATTTTTCTTCTAGGCTCTGCTTCCTTTTGAGTGCTAATCTATAAAATATTTAAAAATATTTGAAAGCACACTTCTGATCACAGCAAATGGTATCCAACTGAAACCTCTGTCTCATCAGAACTCGAAATAAAAATGTAAAATATAAACCACAGTGTCTATGTTGGCTAAGAGCTAAAAAATGCAATCCTGAAATCAGGGGAGACTTTGCTGTATTAAACTGGGGGAGACAAAACGCATGGTACAGTAGAGGCAGATGTAGCACAGAACTAAAATTCTGCTGTCACTACTCATAAAACTCCTGTTCTTACCGCAGTCGGGGTCTTTAACTGGAGATTTGTTTGGTCTTGCAACCACTGGTTAAGCAGGGGAATATACAGGCTGTCTTCTTAAATAATTAAGATTTATAACTCTTTTATTCCATTAAGATGTGGGAAAAGACTAAGCAGAGTCCTCAAATTTTGCACTGTGATTCCACCACAGGACTGTTCAGTTAAAGAACATTTTAAAATATCTAGTTCCAGTTGTCACCAGTAGTCTTCACTTTCCCTTACACTTTTCTGAGTTTCCCGAGGGGAAGCAGCAGAAAAACCAATGCACCCGCTTTGTAAACCCTTACTCACACATACCCCTTGGTCTGCCAACCCATCTCCTTGAGGGCCTGCTGCCAAACCAAAAGCTCCGGTTCTTCACAGTGTCATCCCCAGTCCTGTTGGGTTTGGTTCCTGTTTTTAAGGAAGGAAATTTCTTTCTTCTCCCTCAGTGCCAGTTCAGGACCTTTCGGTAGCATAGACAATACCGAATGCTGTCAGACATCAGTTGAGACTGCTGTCAGTCCAGACGTGTCTGGACTCCTACACTCCGCGGTGTAGGAGATGCTGGGCACCAGCTCCACCAGCCCTGCCAGGCTCCCCGGCGCAGCCCCAGCCACTGGGGCTTTGGTTCTCGCCTCCGCAAAGCCAGCATCCTCCCTCTGCACACAGTGCATTGTACCTTTTATCATCTATCAAGGTAAAAACTGTTACATCACAATAATGCCTGACTTTTCACTTACATTAAGGCAGGCTGGGGGCTGTGGCTCAGCCATAAATTTGGAAGAAATTATTATATAAACCAGCACTAAAGAGGGATTTGTGTTAAGGAAGATCAGGTCTGAAACGCTGCACTATCTGAGCACTGCACTGATTTTTATCCTGTTTCTTCCTCTGCCTATGAGCTGGAGGAGGACTAAGAGGGACAGCAAATACTTTAAGAGTATTTAATTAAGAGTTGTTTATCCAACTCTTAAATATCTGGGGCTTTCCAGTCTGCTGGCCTCAATATATACCTAAGCATCTCCAGCTGGGGAAATCCAAAGATGAATTAAATATGAGCTGGGCAATTTTAAGTGGTGCTCTGAGACTTTGTGTCAGGGGAATGTTATTTTAAAGGAAGCAGCTTGCTGGGTGCCCAGGCCAGGAAAGTAAAGAATATGGAAAGTAGTGAGGAATTTGATGAACAATTTCAGTCAGGCATTAAAAGCATCTGACTACCGAGGCCAGCCCAGTGCTTTGGCTTTGGAATTTAAACCAGTCACTAGATTGCACCTGAGTCTCCCATAACAGCTACCAGTCACCCCATAATATGGTTTAAATCACAAGTGAAAGATGAAGGCAATAGAGAAAAAGCCTGTTTCTGACACAAACCTAAGGAAAGCAGGAGCCCAACGTGCTTATGTTCTTGCATGGAACATGACGACTTTGACAGTGACTTTGAATGGAGTGATTTAAAGCACATCTTTTTCATTTTCTTTCCTTTATGAAGATTAAGTTTCTTCCCCCCCCACACTGTATGTCCCATGAAAATCAAATAGAGATGACCTAAATATACTTAAAAGGATTTGCATCCCAAAGACAAGAAAAGTTTAGAGTCAGCTCAACCTGACAGGCTCATTTGCTCACATTCAGTGAAGACAGCTGTGAATTTCAAGAGAAATTTATACTGGTTGGTTAGTTAAGGCAGAAGCCAGAGAAAGTCCATGCTTTGTGGACTAAAACAACTGGAAAATAACATTTCTAAGGAAGGAAATGACCATAAATGCCACAGAAACTAGTCATTTATAAAAAAAGCAGTTGAAAAAATGCATTTCTAAGAGGTCTTCAGGTTTCATCTTTTTATGCTTACAGGCATTTTGTGCTAAAGATCTCCATCTCTCACTCTTTTCAAACTCATTTTCCAGGTAAAAAAAATTGCTAAATAGGTGCTAGGACCACCCTTTTAAACCTACACACATTAACACCTGTAGCAACTACACAGGCTCAGACTGAGTAGATCCATTAGTTTTGCAGTCAAATAAATGAATCCTCCTGGGTAAATTGGGAACATGACTCCGCCTTGCAGGAGCAGCAGGCTTTCAGACATCTTCAGTCCTTTCTCTCTCAATAGAGATTCAGTTCCCATTGTTATCCCATTGTTATGCAGCTGGCAGGGTGATCCTTCTTCCCAAGGGACTCGTAAGGCAGTCCAGCCTCTTCCTAATTGCTGTAGATGAAT